GTTTGAAGTTTGAGCTCATGTTAAATTCTTTTGTTTTCTTTTAAATTAAGACATCATTTTGTAAACGAGGTTGTTCTTCGACCACTGATCAGTAGAGTCGGTGTCGGCTCATAGAGTTATTATTAACAACCAATGGTGTACAGTTAAGTATATCCTTAACAGTGATTTTTGGAAACTGGACCCTTAGAGTTATGAAGAAAGCCAGCATGTTTCAAGAACAGGCTTTGGAATTTTCCATGTACTTTGCCTAAAAATCGCATGAAATGATTAGCATTTGTTACTTGAGTTGAGGCATTTTAATTGCAAATGTGACAGTATATAACTGGTGCCACTTCTCTTTCTCATTTTTCTTTGACATTTCTGTAGTGCGAAGAGTTATGGGTTGGAAAGGCACATATACCCCGTATGTCAAAGCAACAAGGACTTGCAAAGTTGGATGTTTACTCCATGTCAGTCACGGATGGAAAACGTGTGAGTAGTACTTCCTCCGTCCCTAAAAAGAAGTTATTGTTTGTTTTTTTCACGGAGTTTGACGCTTATGCAGGGGAGAGAGAAATAACGTGAACCACTCATCTCCTTCCCTAAATGGAATGAACGCTCTTTTTTTAAAGAATAAAGAAAAGCAAGAAGTTCGATCTTTTAGCAACCTCAAGCTACACCCCCGCTGCCCCTGTATGCTCGGTTTCATTTAAAATGTGCATTTATTTCAGGGCCGAATATTGAGGGATGACCTTTGTGATCATGCTTGGGAATTTCATTACACTAAGGTATGCCGCAAGTATAAGCTGAGATGTAGCTAGTAGCTAGCTAGCCAGCCAAGATAGATGATAGAATGATACTGTATTCTTTTGTGTGGCTAACAAGGCTTTGTTTAAAACTCAGGATGTTTCCCAGTACTGGAAAAACATGGACCCATACTGGAGTGGCATAGGAGCTCCTTTGAGACGCTATTTCCATCAAGATGGGAGCCAGACAGCAGATGAAGATGACCAGACATGGGGCGGACACGAGGCGTGCTACTGTGTGGTCACCAGCTACCTTGAGAGTGATGAGGCAGGGAGTAGTAGTAGTAGTAGTAGTGATAGGATAAGAGAGCACTATGTGAGGATCAACAGGCTGCCCCAACTGTATGTGTCAAGGAAGGTGGACTGGAAGTGGGAGTTGTCCAGTAATCTGTGCACCTACACTAGCATCCCTGACTCAGATAAACCAAATGGGACTGGCCCTTTGTTCCCTGTTTCCTAGCTCTCTTTTTTGCCAATTCTCTTCTTTCTCCTCTCTTGTAAGACAATGAAAGTTGAAATCTTTCTATCATAAATACTCTCTCTCTCTCTCTGATGGATTCTTGGAACCAAGCTTGAGAGAGAGGGGGAGAGAGCAAATTTAGAGAGGAAAAGCTTGTATGATGATTATAAGGAGTGTGATGAATAAATGTTCGTCCCCTCCCCACAAGCCGATGAATGGTAGTTATAAAACAAAGATGATGAAATTGTATGTTTATTATTCACATGGTCAAATTTCATTCATTTTTTTTCTCTATTTTCGGTAGTCATTTGATAAAATAATATAGTCATGTCACAACTAGTTTTGTATATTTTTTATCTAATTTTTTAATATGTAATTTTTATATTTTAATTCTACACCATTTTTTCATATAAAATTATTTAAAAATAAGTTCAGTCAAACATCGTAAATAGAAACGGGCAATTTAAACTGGGATGGATGGAGTAATTCTGAATGCACAAAAAATAGAGAGTGCACGACTAATTCGGGAAAGAGCTACTAGGTGATAATCCCTACATCTCAATTAACATTTACGTTGCAATTTGCGTTGTTTAACCGAAATTGTTTCATTCTAATTTATTTGAAGAATAGTGTGAAATTATAAAAGTAAGAGGTAACATAATAAAAATTTATTATGAGGTAATATAATTATATTTATTTTTTCTAATCGCATTCAACCTATTCCAACTGAAACAATGGTTAGGCATAAAATTGAATAAATTTAACTAAGTTTTACTTAATTTTAATAAATGTTTATCTCATTAGAATCAATTATATTTGATTAAAACAAAACAATATTCCAATTTAATTTTTATCAGTGTATTGTGTATATACTTGATTCAAACTTGTATTTATTGTATTTCATCTTATTGGATATAATTTCAACGAAATGCATTTAATTTAACCTAATTTTACTTCAATTTAACGTAATTGTATTCAATTTCATCTAAATATGAATAAAATTTATTGAATTTCTAATAATTTCACTAATATTAGTAGTCATTTTTAGGCAATCTCATTCATTGCAATACCTTTTAGGAGTAAAATTGAATGAATATCAAATAATTTCATCCAATTTTACTAAACTTTTATCCAATTACATTGGATTTCATTTAATCGTAACGGAACACTATTAAGATCATCTTTTATCTTTGCATATATGAAGATAGAGATAATAGATGTAATAAAAATTTAATATGAAGATAGAGATAATAGATGTAATAAAAATTATACTCCCTCTGTTTTAAAACTTTCTTCCCACTTCCCCTTTTTTCCCGTCCTAAAACTACCTTCCCATTAGAAAAAAAAGATGACAAATGACATTAATACCCTCATGTATTTACACCAATTATCTTCTAACTCTATATTTTGAATGATTGCAAAAAAAATTTTAAAAAATCTTTTTTAAGGAGGGTAAAATTTGAAGTCAAAGCCAAAAATTAAAAATGAGGAAAAGTCAAACTGGGAAGAAAGAATTAGGACGGAGGGAGTATTAAATTTATATCATAACCAAAAATACTTTCTTTACCTATTTTCGTTACTTATTTGATAAAATAATATAGTCATGTCATATCTTGTTTTGTAGAACTTTTGATGTAGTTTTGAAATATAAAATTTTTCTTTTTTAATTTTTACCTATAATCGAATAAATTGAATTGAAAATAACTTCTGTCAAACATCATAAATCGAACTGAGAAGATCATTTTAGAACGGAGGGAGTATTATTTATGGCGGAGGGAGTATACTTAGAAAAAATATATAATAATATGAGTTGATGAATTGATGATAAATGCAAAATGACAAAAAAAGAACACAAATAATTAACTTTTAATTAAAAAATGACATAGATGCTAAACATACTCTAAATTGAAATATATCATAATCAAAATATATTTGAAACTAAAATATATCTGAATCGAAATATATCTGAATTGATATCTGAAACCAAAATTGATCCGAATCGATTGAACCAAAATTAAATCTGAATTGAATTTAAACCAATCCAATTCGCTCCGTATAACATATATCCAAGAAGTATCTGAATCAAATTATTCCAAACCAGAAACGATTCAATTGCCAACTATAGTAAGCCTGAGAGAAAATCACGTGTTCATCTTCGATCCTTCTCTTCCTTAGCACACTTTTAGTACTAAGTTTAATTGGATTCTTCCTTTGGCCATTCCAAGACCAAAAGAGCACTAACTAATCCCCCCATATCTAACACCTCAAAAAGCTCAACTTTGAAAATGGTTAATGAAAACAAAGTGGGCAGAGCAACGTAATTAAAATATTATTGAGAGTTACTTAACAAATTTTTGAATGGAAGACCCACTGATTGCTGACTTATTTAACATATTTTTGAATGGACGAGCCATTGAAACTTACTTGTTTAATAGATTTTTAAATGGGCGGTCCATTGAAACTGTTTTATTTAACAGATTTTTGAATGGACCGCCCATCGAAAGAAATGCAGTGAACTGCATTATTCCTTTTAGCTAGCTACAAAAGCAAAACACTCCTTTGTAACTTGGTTTTGGTAGCAAACAAGGTAAAAGACTAATATAACCCCCCACCACCATTTGAACGCCTATATGCAATGTGGGCACTGATTTGCTTCCTCCTCCGGTTGGAACAAAAAAGCAAAGCAAGTAATATTTGGCTCAACACATTTCACTTTCCCCCCATGATTAAATTTGGGTTCTTCCCTTTCTACCCCCATGGACATTACCCGGCGCCTGGCAATTCCGACCGCAAGATCGACCCGTCCGGTTTCACAATGAACATGACACTTCAAATTGACCGCAACATTGACCTCTTCCCATTTTTATTCTCACTTGTAAAACTCACGAACATCTTCCCAATTTTGTAGGTGCATTTGTATCATGAGGCCGGTTCCGTAGCCACTGTCCAGTGGCTACGGAAGCCACTGCCCCCTACGGAGATCTACCCCTCCTAACCCCCAGTAAACCCCCCTACCCATGAAATTGTTTGTACCGCTATCCCCCTATGATTTAAAAATTTACGATGTTGTCTCTCATGGTTCTGATATTGTTACACCAATGCTCCTCTAGACTAAAACATTCTTCAAATATTATGTAATAGTTCTACTACCCTCTATGGTTTTGGAAATGGGTACAAACGCCCCTTCTTTTTTTTATTGTTTTTCTTTTTTCTACTACTTTATTATAAATGTTTTTTAATTTCTTTTGTTATAATTATTTTTTATAATGTTTAATAATCAATTTTTTTGTGTTTGCCATAAAAATCAATTAAATAACAAGAAATAATGTATACTTCATTTGTCTCAAACTAAACATTTTCATTTTTTATTCAAAAGAGAACTTTATTGATTCATTTTCATAAACGAAAATTAATAAAATATTCTCTATTATTATTTTTCACTAAAGCTCATTTCTCATTTTATGTTCATTAATTTTAACCGTTTCTCTTGTTTTAATCAAAATTAAAATAAAAGAAAAAAGAATATAAAAAAATAAAAAAAGAAAAGTACATGAAAAAATAATTTTATAGAATTGGGAAAAATTAAGTCATGAAGGAAATCTTTTGCACATTGGTCCAAAAAATGTAATTAATATATAATTAACTATATATATAAAAGGCGTTACTTAGTATTCTTTTGGTCCCGACATATTCAAAAAGATCAAAACTTTTTTAGACAAAAAAAACAAAATATTTAAATGGACAAATGAAGTATATGTTAAATTTTTTATTTCTATTTTTATTCCAAACACAAACTTTTTTTATTTTTTAAAACTTTTTAAAAAATGTAGGTTTTGAAACACAAATTTTAATTATTTCACACACAAACATTTTTCTTCTCTTTATGAAAAACAGAAAAAAAATAAAGAAAAAGGAGAGGAGGTGTTGGTGCCCATTTCCAAATCATAGGGGCACTGGAATTATTCACCTAATATTTGAAGAATATTTTTGTCCAAAGGGACATTGACATACTAATATCAGAACCATGAGGGGCAACAGTGTATATTTTGAAACAACGGGGATAAGGGTGCAAATTTACCAGAGCAGTATACAAGCGTTCAAATTGACTCAAGTTGTTGGGTACCAGAGTAACGTTAAATTTTACAATTAGGGACTCCGTCGTTAAATCCCAACAATTACGTGGCTTAAACATCAATCCTTGATTGATATCTTCCAAAACCGAGATATACCAAAACACTCGCATTTGGGAGGATGATGATATAGCCATATAGGGAGATATCGAATTCATAGGCTTCACTAAATACACATAACTGTGTTTGGTTCAAGGAATTAGGAAGGATGAAAAGAAAATGAGCTTCTCTATTTTTTCTCACCAAAAATGGAAGAAGTTTGATTTTTCCTTCTCTTAATATATTTAACCTTTTTATTAACTTTCCATCCACTTTTCTTTTCTTTTCCACTCTAATCAAACAAGAAAAACTATCTACTATCTTAATTTCTTTTCTTTTTTCTTTCAAATTCATTGAACCAAACATAGTAGTAAGGTAGTGCTTGGGAACTAACATTTCAATTCCAAAATTAGAATTTTTAAATTTCAAATGACAAGAGGAGACATGGATTTGCAATTGAGTTTTGTAATAAATTAGAGAATATGCCTTAATCCAAATCCAAAATTTTAAGATTTTCCGAAGATGAAATTTGAGCTAAATCCGGATTTGAAACCCGAATTTCAGTTCCCAAACATGCCGTAAAAGAATTAAAATATCGAGAGATACCAAAAGTTATCTCTTGTTTGATTAGAATATCGTTCATCACAAACCCACAACAACGATAACACCAAATGCCATTAATACAATAACGAAATCCACAAAGTTATGTATACTCATCAAACAAGAGGATATGAAACTTGTAGAGTTATACCTATTCATACTCCCATTAGTCCCATATCTCATGGGAACATATTAAAATTATTTTGGCAAAAGAAGAGAAAATCTACAGGACCTTTCCAGACAATTTGAACACAACTTAAAAGGCACACACGTTATTACATGCACGCCCAGAAGACAGTAGGGAACGAGACAGTTTGGCATTGGCTGGTTACAAAGACAAGCTTACCAGACTTCGGGACGAAGCTCACCAGTAGCAGGGGGCATCCATCTCCCTGAGTTGTACACACTCTCACCCGCTTTCCAACCAGGAACGTCCTTCATTATTCTTGCCTCTTCTTCTACATACTTTCTCCATTCCTTGACAAACCTGAAGATATCAAACCCAATGTGGCAATGGCAGAATCAGTTATAAAGTGTGTGCATATATAACCAACCAATGGACCGTTTGGGAGGTGGGATGACTCCCGGAAGTCATTTTTTCCATTTTTCAGTGTTTGGCTGTTTTAAAAAAATTAGGAGTCAACAGAAAATGATTGCCAAAGTCAACAGAAAATGAGCCTGATATGGAAGATTTGTCTTACTTTTTTTGGTCGAAGACATTTTCCATCATTCTCCTACTTTATTGTCGAAACTCATCAAGTTTTACTATGTTATAACAACAAAACCTATTTTTTTAAAAAAAAATTTCCGAACTTTCAACCAAACACCAGAAAATGTCCAGAAGTCATTTTCTATCTATCCAAATGGATGAATAGATTGCAAAGCAGAGAAAAGGAAGTTTACTCCTAACCTTTCATCCTCTTCAGCTTGTAGCATGGGTAGTATAGCCCTTCGAGCAGCATACTTTTCTTCCTTTATTGCCCTACACAACGGACAAGGCAAAGATGATATTATATCTATCGACCAATTCCTTTTCTAGTTTAGACAAAGATAATTGATTAAAAAGCTTATTTTTCCACTACAATGAATTTTACTTATGATATGATTTACTCCTTAAACAAAAAATACTCTATAATAATCACTGCATAGCACAGTGGCAAGTATAACTGGCAAAATTACAAACAGTGATCTCTTTCATAAGTAGTTTTGATCATAATCCATAATGGTGATTTCATTTGTCAGTTATGCAAGTTTTTCTATGGGGAGGAAAATAAACTGCCACAACATTCCGCGATAGCCGCCATTTAACATTACTAGTATTCAATTATCTAAAGAAGGGCTTAATACAACAAAAAAAACAACAACAACAACAAAGCCTTATCCCACTACATGGATCAAACGACGCCATTGTGCCTTATCATGTACCATATCTGCTTTGAGATCATTCATGCGAAGGTCTCCTTTGATTAGTGCTTGCCAAGTCTGATTAGGTCTACCTCTTCTTTTAGTCACATGCCTATTCATCATTCAATCAACCCTTCACATAGGACGCTCTATTAGTCTTCTCTTCACATGTCCAAACCACCTAAGACGCGTTTCTACTTTCTACCATCTTTTCTACAATAGGTGTCACTCCAACTTTAGCTCTCACTTCTTCATTTCTTATTCTATCCATACGCGTATGACCACTCATCCAACAAAGCATCTTCATTTCCGCCACACTAACCTTGTGTTCATGTTCATCCTTTGTTGCCCAACACTTTGTTCCATACAATATAGCTGGTCTAATAGTAGTACGGTAAAATTTTTTCCTTTAGTTTTAAATGTACTTTTTTGTCACATATAAAGCCCGAAGCACTCCGCCATTTTGGCCAACCGGCTTGAATCCTGTGGTTAACATCATCCTCTATTTCTCCATTGTCTCGAATGATACACCCAAGATATTTAAATCTCTTTACTTCTGGTATAGTATTTTCTCTAACTATCACCTCGATGTTACTATCTCTCCTTCCATTGCCAAACTTGCACTCCATATACTATGTTTTAGTGCGGCTTATACGCAAGCCATGCAACTCTAAAGCCTGTCTCCATGCATCCAATTTCCCATTCAAATCCTTGTGTGATTTGCTCATAAGGATGATGCCATTTGCAAAAAGCATACACCATGGTACTGGTTCTTGGATATGCTCATAAAGAAGGGCTTAATGCAAACTCAAAGAAAAAAAGTTTCTCCACCTTACCAATCCTTTGTCATGTTCCATGTTTTGCAGGTTGATTTTAGAATGTTAATCTTGTACTGAAGAAAAAAATACAATATCAAATCTCTTTTTCCCCGTGCATGTAGAAATAGAATGATGACGGTTTGAAATTTTCATATCATTATTCTTTCCTATGAAGGGTTTCTCTCTAAAATCGCGCCCTTGAATCCTTAAGAAACAAGTAGAAGTGGAAAAAAATTATTATTTAGAAACCCCTTTCATCTAGGTTAGGAAACCAATGCAAACTAACACTTCCCAGTTTCCAGTTCCCACAAAGAGAGCTTGAAAATCATATCGTCAGCACTATAGACACTCCTTCGTCTGAGTCTATTTTTCCCTTGAACTTAGTTTTTTCACTCCCTCCGTCACATAAAAAGATTCAAGTTTCATTGCTGTACCAGAATTTAACTATAATAAAATTCAATGATTAACTAATATTAACATATTTGAGTTGTTTTGGGACAAAAATATGATACAAAGTAAGAAACAGAACTCTTTAGGGGCAGTAGGAATATTCAAGCAGCAGCATCTTTATCTTGCTATATTATTAAATATATTCTTAACGATTAAGGGATGAAAAAGACATAAAAAAATACCCTTATACAAACCCTCATAGCTCAATTGCTTTAAGATTTGGTTTGAAGTTTTGCTGTTTTGAAATCATCTACAGGCAATGCACTCATACTGGAGATTAGAAAAGTGACTGTAGCAAGCCATAAGCCAATAGCAACCTGATAGTCAATTGACCTTAAATCTGCTCATTGTTATATGCCCCCGGGCATGTGACACAGCCACTACTTCTACAACTCTTATTCTCCCGGCTTCCCTCATTAAGCACTGACCATTTCTCTTTCAGTTTTCTCCTCGTTCCCATAAGACATCATATCTCATCATTAAAACTCAAAAGTTGGGATTCAAGTGGAAACTTCCATGTAATGACGCATTGAAATGTAAGTGCTCCAAGTCATCTCGGATAAAAAAATGTGGTACATTGTATTCTATATCCCCGCCCTACCATTGAAACCTTCAAGGGCTCAACTCAAAATGAATAAATCCAGTACTCACCACTATTTGAAGTACAAAAGTTAGGATTTCATTCAGTAAAAAAGGAATTGGTTCTTTGATTGAGGAAGCTCGGGGGCATCAAATCAAAGAGGTGCGCATCATCTCGATAAATATACCAACCAGATCGAAAAATCAGACGGAGTAGACAACAAATTGAAATCTGAATTGTGCCATTCAAGCACGATCCTGATGAAATCAAAGTAAATCTCATGAAATAAAGGCGCTAGCTGTACCTGCGCTTCTTGTTCCCTTGGCCGACCTGATACATACCCCAAGAGAAGGCGCCGAAAGCAGTGAGGAAAATGGCCATCGCGCTGGGACCGGTGTTGGGAATCCGACGGGCGAACCGTACCGGAGCAAAACCTCCGGGCGGCGGTCCGTCTTGAAGAAGCGGCATGTCCTTCACGCTCGCCATGCCTGGCTTCTTCCTTATCATCGCCTCCGTCATCTTTGCTCAATTCTCGACTGTTCCTCGACAATGGAAGTCCGTCTGTCCTTGCTGCCTCATACGAATGACTATAGGCGAGTTGAGAGAGATGAGGGAAAACTCGGGATTTGACCCGACCCGAACTGTATATGGGAACTTGGAACTGGACATTAATATTTATTTTTTTAAATTCAGTTTTACTTATAAAGGACTATTCAATTATTTCAATATGTGTACGGCCCGGTTCTAGTGACACCAAAGGACGGTGTCACTGGCTTTTTGGGCACTTCCGGTGATCCGTTCGTAAAATTGACGGTTCCTACCCCTTCCACCCCTAAACCCCCCACCATACCCCTACCCCTGCACTCCCACCCCAACCCCGCCGCAAGCCCCCCACAAAATGTGTAACTATTATGCAATGCATAATAGCCACACATTTTGTGGGGGGGCTTACAGCGGGGTTGGGGTGGGGGGGTGCAGGGGTGGGAGTAGGGGGTAGACACCATCAATTTTACGAACGGAGCACTGGAAGTGCCCCAAAAAGCCAGNTAAATTCAGTTTTACTTATAAAGGACTATTCAATTATTTCAATATGTGTACGGCCCGGTTCTAGTGACACCAAAGGACGGTGTCACTGGCTTTTTGGGCACTTCCGGTGATCCGTTCGTAAAATTGACGGTTCCTACCCCTTCCACCCCTAAACCCCCCACCATACCCCTACCCCTGCACTCCCACCCCAACCCCGCCGCAAGCCCCCCACAAAATGTGTAACTATTATGCAATGCATAATAGCCACACATTTTGTGGGGGGGCTTACAGCGGGGTTGGGGTGGGGGGGTGCAGGGGTGGGAGTAGGGGGTAGACACCATCAATTTTACGAACGGAGCACTGGAAGTGCCCCAAAAAGCCAGTGGCACCGAAGTGGCACCGTTCTCCGGTGTCACTGGAACCGGCCCGATATGCGTATTCTATTACTTGAAAATGAGTATTCAATTATTTGAAAATGAGTTTTTTAGCGTATGTACATAAGAGTGAGCGTTGTCTGGTATCACGGAGGTTCGGTATCGGTAGTCATTCGATATCATTCCGTTTTGAAACGGAACGGTACAGTACCATACCTATGCTCAAATCGTGCAAAAAAAATGAATGTACATTACTCAAAGAATATTGAAATAAATGTATAAATTTATATATAACTTCAACGACTCAAATCTAACTTTGAGTCTCTGACCTACATCTAAGGGATTAGAATTGTAAATACGTTATGTATAATTTCTTAAGAAGTACAAAGTATACCTTGTTCTTTGAATTTTACATTTACTCCTTCCGTCTTATGATATTCTTTCCATATTTAATTGGGCTGATTTTTAACCTTTGACTTTCTAAGAATGCTCTTCGTATTCAAAACCTTAGTTAGATTGGCTGCTGATGGATTCTAGATTATGGGGTAGTGAAATAGTAGAGAAGTTTAATATATTAGCAATGAAGTACTCAGAATTCAATCCTGTTCCATGAGGATGAAGGGGTCTATTTATACAAGTTACTACCTCCGTCCCGCTATATTTGTCCACTTTTGACTTTTGGAACTGTTCATCTAAGCACTTTGACTTATCAAATTCTCTCAATGTGTAAGCCTAAATATAGTCATGTGTGATCTTGTTTGATTTGTCTTAACATATAGATTATTAATATATAATTTGTATAATATTTTAATATACAAATTACAAGATAAAATGGATTAAAGAAATGCATTGGATGATGTGTAAAAATGAAAATGGACAAATACTCTGGGACGGAGGGAGTACATATTAGGCCACACCCTCATCCCTCTCGGGTTGCAGTCCACGAGCTTATTAATTACATTTGTCTCTATCTTTATGACACATGACTCTCTTATGGTGCTTATGTATTGACCTTAGAGCCTCACAAGTTGCCTCTATGGGCAGGCCCCTGACCGTGACCTTACTATGCTGGAGTCGTATATGTTAGTGCAGAGCGGGCCCCTACAGACGTAGGGGTGCCTAAGATTTGGCTGAGGGTTTCATGAGGCCGAACATTCCGTCTTTTGTCATGTCTCCTAATACCATCGGCTGAGCATAGGCTTGACCGAGCTCAAGGCCTATGGAGCCAAGGTCCCTTGACCCATATCTCCATCAGCTGCATTTTAGATACGACACTTCAAAGGTGCTATTCAATGACAATGGCACAATGCTAACATTGACTACAGATCGGACAAATAGAGATGTGACATTGACTTCAGCCTTCAAAGCCTTTGAGGTGAGACTAGCTCCACCGAGATATGGCACCTTGATGGTAACACATAGAGGACTCCATGAGATGTAACGTCTCATCCGCTCTTAAGAAGGCTTCATTGGGATCCAACATAGATGAGGTTGCGTTGGCTAAATGGGGGTTGAGTGAAATTAATTGTAAGGGTAAATAAGATATCTAACCCAAAATTATTTAACAAAAAGCAAATTCGCTAGATAGTCGTATAACAAAGAATTTTCTAACCCAGTCTTTTATCCCGACTTATTATGTTCGTGATTCTCTATATTTGAGAACTATTCGATAATGAGTTATTTAGAGAAAAATATTCTAAATATAGAGGGCCACAAAGATTATATTCATTTCTATATGTAATATACACAAATAACTTGTCATAGAATAAATCTCAAATACATATGAAAGACTACAAACATTTGAAGTAAAAACTTGGGATAGAGGACCATATTAGAAAATCATCATATTATAAAAGACTATTTCACTCTTTGCCAAATAAAATAATGAGAATAAAATTTTAGGAAGACCCAAAAAAAGTGGGAAATGCAAAAAGGTTTCACATTGCAATATTTCACTAAAATGATTTTTAATTCAATTTATTTAAAAGTTAGTTTAAAACTAAAAATATAAAAATCACGTATTTATAAACTGGGTAAAATGTTACCAAACAAGAGGGCAATATATTTTCATGAAGTGGTTCTTTTGACGCTACGAGACAGACTCACAGATGGCAACGAGGAAGGTCTTGGGGGCCAATACAAGTCTCCAGCTTACAATAAATGCACAACCAAATGAGACTGGACATAACTAAATACCCCAAGGTTTGTTTACTGAAGCATCATCCTTCACAATAATTACACCATTTCCAGGTTAAGGTCTCTAGCATAAAGATAGATGTCCTTTCTATGAATGACTATACCCTCGCC